CTCCTGAGCTCAAACAATCCACCCGCCTCGGCCTCCCGGAGTGCTAGGATTACAGGCTTGAGCCACCGCGCCTGGCTGCCATTCTTTTAAAAGATACACTTCACTAAAGGCTTATCTGCAGGAACTAGCCTGGACGCCCCTCCCTGCCGCCAGTCTGCGGAGGCTATGTGAAGAGTCTCATGCCAGCACTGCTGCCCTATGGAGATGGAGGCAGCGCCGCCTGCACAAGGGTGTTGCCTGCAGCCAGCGGCAGGCGCATCTCAGAGTCCAGCCCCTGCCTCTTCTAAAGCAGCAAAGCCCCGTTACACCCAGCCAGCAGGCTGCCACTTTATACTCCATAAGTGGATCAGCACTGGCCATATACGGGAGTGATTATGCTCGTTTTTAGAAAGCCTCCTTGTATCACGCCTTGTTTTTATTGCCTTCAAAAGAGGGAGGAGACAAGTTATAGTAATCCATTTGTGGCAATGATAAAAATGTAAGCAATTTCAACATTTTGGCTAGGGCTCCTTATCCACTGACCTGGCCAATCTCTCTTTAATCTACTCTAAATACATTTACACGGAAACAGTTAAGAATGAAGAAAAGAATGGAGATAGTTTTAAAGTAACAGCTACACAGAGCTCTCTCAACCTACAAATTGTGTCCGAGCCCTGTTTGCACAGTAACTAGGGCATTTAGCAAACTTAAAAAAAAATAAGAATGAAGAAAAGAAAGATCTTTTGGAAAGAATCCTCCCCCAGGCTGTGGTGCCAACCCAGGCTATAGCGCCCTCTGAGATCTAGGTGTTAACTTGGGAGTTCTGCTGGAGCCGCCCTGGGCTCCGGGCAGCCAGGTCCTTTGAACGTTTAACGCAGGATGCCGGCTCCATGGGAGAAGGGCCTGAGGTAGTCAGTGTGCTCTGGTGGGAGGGACAGTTGGGACGCGGATGGCTGCTCTGCCTGGTCTGGGACTTGGAAAGAGCCTCACTTCTCCTAAAGGCGAAACGGGAACATGCTGGCACCAGCTCTTAGGGCAGGGCATGGACAGAGAACCCTGTCATCTTCTAAGTGTTCTCACTACCGAGACTTGGACATCTGACCACACCACACCTTTGCAACGACTGCTATTTGTCATTCTAAAATACGGTGGGGGTGGATGTGCATTGTATTTTTAGATTTGATTTTGAGAATGGAGGGTTTAGCCTCTCATTTTCTTTTCTTTTTGTGCTTTCCTTCATCTTATTTACACAGACAGAAATAACGAAACATAAATCAGGGTCTATTTCCTGGTAGGACAAGGCCCCCAGGCTGGCAGGAGACAGAGGCAGCCCGGCCACGAGGGAGGAAGGTCCAGGAGACAGCTGGGTGGAAGGGGCTCTTTCTCCACCAATCTGCAGTCAGCATTTCCACCCCTCTTTCTGTTAGAAGTCGTTTATTGTCAAGATTAGCAAGAGATCCAGTCTTGTAATCCCTGAAGGCTAACATGGCATCCAGGAAGGACAGACCAACCCCCAAACCCACCCCCACTCCTACCTCATGAAGAGCAGGAAAAAACAAGCCTTTTCATTATAAATAGCTAAATACATTTCAGTATTTCTGTGACAGGATGTTTAAAAGACATCACAAAGATGCTGAGGAGACTGAGCCCACCAGATAATTGTTGTACCCATGCAGGGTTTTTTACTTCTCTTTGTATTTCTCTGAGAAACAAAGAAAATCCTTATTTTTAATCCCCAAATCCTCAAGGACCTACAATTCACACGCCACTTGCCACCACACGGAATGGGACATCAGTGTTTCCAAAGTGGGCACTGGTGGAATGCCCCACTGCCAGGTCACGAGGGGCCTTGTGGCCTGTGACACAGGCCACCCCTCCTGTAGGAAGCGCTTCCTCCACTGAGGATGGCAGGAAAATGAAGTCTGCATGCCGGGCAGCTGGAGCCAAGCGTTCAGCAGCCAGTCTGCAAGGGGAAAGCTGTCCCTTCTACACGTGTGCTCATTTTTAGTTCATTAATGGGGGTGGTGGTCAACTTGCCCTTTTTTAACTTACTCAGATTAAAAATAAACAACAGGGACACTGCATGTACCCAAGACAGACAGCGCCTGGCACCCTGCCGGCATCCGGTGTCTCTTCTGGCCCCTGAGCCTCCCCCAACAGTGCATGGCGGGGAGACTGTCCTTGCTGGGTCCTGGCAGTTGTCGTCCTGCATGACTAGGAAGGAGTTTCCGTTTCCAGGGCAAAGGCCCCTCAGCCCTTTCTTTGCACCGACACCCACTGGACGCTGAGGGAGTGCTGCAGGCTGGCCCTGCCCTTGCTCAGAGTGAGCACTGTGCCTTCTTGTACTTAGGAAACCGGACGCTGGCAGGGCCCTTCCTATTGCTCTGGGCTGGAGGAACAGATGACTGGGCTCCTGGGGAGAGCCAGCTTTGGCCGCCTGCCCCAGAAAGCACTACCCCACAGAGCGCTGTCCCACCAGGGGAGCAGCAGTGAGGACTAGAGGGACCCACTTCGACACTGTCTCCTTCCCTCCCCTCTTTTTCCAAGGCCTGGAAGAAGGGGAGAGAAGAACTCAAGATCAGACCCTCCCCCCCAGCCACAAGCCACCCCTACAAGCCCAGACCCAGGCGGAACATCCGAATTTTAAACCAGATGATAGGAAAAGTGGCATCTACCCGAATGATGTTAAGGAGGCCCAAGAGATGACACAAAGCCCAGCTGGGAGCAGGGATGGGAGAAAAATGTAACTATCATTTTAGACCCAACCAAATGGAGACTGACCAATAAATTAATCATATCTCAAAACAAAAGCCTACTTCTATTTCTCACCTCTTCACATTAGAATATTTTTCCTAAATATAGAAAATACTGTAAGAAGGTCTTCCCAGTCTGCCCCAGAGACTCTGTCCTCAGTTCCTGTCATGGAGGCAGCCACTGTACCAGTGTGCTTTACACACTCTCTATATTTATCTTTTTCCTCCTGTTTAAGGAAAGTAACAGTGTGGCTTGTACTTATATATATATATATA